TGAGTTGTGCAGTTCCACAGTAAGTAAATCATTCCTTAACAGTGATTAAAAAATACACATTATTTCACATGTAACATGGAAAAAATAACTTGTAAGTAAAATAAACTGCCAGTGGATCTAGTACTGTTTCATCAATATTAAGGAAATGATTGACTCAAAACAAGCTCCTATATCTTGCTGAAAATTTACTTGCAAGTTAGTTTTCTTAGTTCAAGATACTTGCAGTAGAAACTAGACCACAAATACTTGGTAAGATTTTGTGCTTTTGCAGTGGATGCAACATTTCTGATAGATTCCTTCTTTCATTATGGTGGCATTTTGCAAAAATAAATAATTTTGGTAAGTGTAACTGACCTAAAACAAAAGTCTGGTTTAGACATTTAGGGAAAAAGATTTGCCTTTTTATTTGTAACTATGTAATGTGATCCCTGCCACAATCTCATCCCAGTAAACTCGCATCCCTCAACAGTTTTGAAAAGATGCTACACCACTGAAAGTTTTATTTTGGGGCAAAAGTGGCTCTATGAACTGTAAAGGTCGCTGACCCCTGATCTGAAAAATGGACACAACTGTGCTAATCTACAATATTACCACAAAATAACAACTATCAGGATTTACTCTAGAATTTTCTATATTCTGCTTTTTAAAGTCACTCTACAGGTTCTGGATGAAGTAAGTTTTCATTTGATTTTCCGGGGCTTTGACCGCATGTGGCAGGCTTAACAGGATGTTGCATTTCAAACTGTTGCATTTGTTGCATTGTTGTAATTCTGTGACATCAGCAAACTGAGAATTTAAGCCTCTTTGGCATTCACCTTCATTTCCAGAGAGTCGAGAGCTTTCCTGACTTCCCTCGTGCTCGAGTGTGAAAATCCTCACAGAACGTGAAGAAAGGGCTTCAGCAGCTTGGTAAAAATGTGAAAATTACTTCACATATCGTGGTGAAAGGAAGAGGCTTGGAGACATTTGGTGTTGGAAGCAGAGAACTGTCTGAAAGACGCTTGAAAGCAGCGTAATTTCTGTCTGATTCATGATGGGTTGAGTGGCATTAAATCATAGATGTGCTAACAGCGAAATGGGAGAATTAGATGGAGGCTGCTGTCTGCTATTATCCTGCGCTGTAAAAATTGACAGCGCTAACATCCGCAAGAGAAATTAGCTCTGGAAACACAGGTGCCCTGCATTTCAGACTGCAGGTTCTGCTGTCCAAAATATTTTGAATTTCTGCACCTTACCTAAGAAAACCCGGCACAACAAATGGAAAATAAGCGGCGGGGAAGAACTAAATAGAGCGTGAACTTAATTTCATATTGCTACAATTCATTCGATTCATATGGGCTTAATAGTATTGTTCATTTTCCTGCATATTTAGGGTGAAGTGTTCGCACCTGGTTATGTCTGGGGGGCATTAAGTCTGACTAATGAAATGACTCTATCCTCTGCGGCGTTTTAATCTATTCACTGGGAAAGTAATTGACAAGCTCGCAGTGTGTGCATTAGGATAGCTCCAGCTCCAAAGGACAGCTGTCACTAAAGCAATTAAAATGACAAAGGTTAATTAATTCTCTCCAGTTTTTTACCTGATATGAGACAGTCACAATGAGTGAGTTTTCATTTTCAGACGAGTAATAGTGTTTTGAGGAGAGTAATTTATTTGCGATTTAAAAGCAGCAGCAGCCGTTGTCTGATGGAGCCCTTAATATGTCAATACCTCACGCAAAACCGAGCCCCCAGGACAGCTTTCAGCACCAGATTTGAAATGAAGTCTGCGGCAGGACATGATCTGAAATGACAATTTGTTGTTTTCTTTTCCAAAAGCAAGTTACTTTTTTTTTTCTTTCTGTGGCAGCAAGCAAGACGGAAAATGTGATTTGTTTATAAATGAGGCGTGGATTTTCACACTTAAACATTTCATCTGAACAAACATCCGTAAGTGGAAAAATTAAGCCCTTTTTTTAGCGTTGGAGTTTGGAGGTCGCGTGGAAGCAAAGCAAGACACAAATAATTACCGCACCAAGCACCTCTGACACCACGAGAGCAGAACCCAAGAACTTTCTAATCCACCTAAATGTCAAAGCAATGTTCGCAGCCCTCCCTCCATGTGAATCTCCGAAGGCTGCCAAAAGGCCAGTGGTTAGTCATCTGTTTACTCCTGCAGCTGCTGGGTGTCATTGGGACTCTGAAGGAGAAATCCCATGATTCTCTCTGCCATTTCTGACAGCTCCCACCCAGACCACATTAATCAGGGATTGTGGGCAAGCTAGGGGTTAGACGGCAGGCATGGATGGCTCCGGCCCAGGACAACTGAACCGAGGGATCTGGGCCCAAAGATAACCGAGACATCCAAACACTGCCGTGATTAATTTATACTGAAAATAAACTGCTTTGTTCCCCCCGACAACGGCTGAAATCAAGCTCTGAAATTAAACTCAATTTCTACAAAATTACACTGCAAAATCTTACCAAGCATTTCTAGTGCAAATATCTTGGCACACTTAGTAAAACAAAACTAGCTCACAAGTAAGTTTTCAACAAGATGTAGGAACTTGTTTAAGTACTCAATTCCTTAATATAGATGGAAATGTACTAGTTGAAGTGGTGCAACTCTTGAGTATAATTGTTGGGTTCTAACAATAATTAGTACCCAGCTAGCATTATTGGTTATTATAGCGACTAGCATTATAGTCCCCAGTCTGCTTCGCATTATTATGTGTGTATCTATAGATACTCTGCCAAACAAACTAGAGTTTGATTAAAGTGGACCAAACGGAGCTGGTGTGAATGCGCCATTAGAATCATTAGACAGCATTACAGGGTTTTAGGTCTTCATGAGGCTTTTACCGATGAGATATTTGACACTTTGGAACAAAATACTTATCTGGTTTGTAATTGAAATAAATTAGCAGTAAAACAAAAAAGGCTACAAAGCATCACATATTTGATCCATTGTTTAGGTTAAATCACTGATCAGAGCCTCCTTTAGTTCTATGATCTTTAATTTGTCACTAATATGGTTATTTTTGTCAGGGTCTTAAAGGGTACACAGGAAAATATGCAATTACAGATGTCTTTCAGCAGCTCTCACACCCAACACTTTCCTGCCAGACTGTTTACACTTGTGAGATTATGTGCATAATGAGGCTGCATTGTCTCTGCAAAGTGCCGCTTTAATTCTTTGAAGCTTAACAAACTGTCCCTGGCACATTTTTCTATGGGCGGCAAACTATCAAAGTCACTTTATTGAGATGAAAGAACTGGCCCAAATAGCAATCTGAAACATTAGTCATTCCTTCTTGTCGCTGACAGAAACACGCTCTCAATTTACGAGTCAGGTGTTTCCAGTGATTTCTGCCAGCCTCGTTCCTCCACATCATAAATTCCTCTTTGCGCGCTCTCATCCCACAGGCAGACGAGTTCTTTAGGCCGCCTTGTCAGAAAATTCAGCCCTCCTTCGCATATTGGAAGCAGTCCAGGCTGCTATTAACAGAGCTGTGCATAGGACTGCATACACAGTGAAAGAGCTCTGAATTTAAATAGACAGCAGTGATTGTGCCCCTAGGTGCACATTTGTACTTTTTTTTTTTCCTTTTTTTCATACAGGTTTCCTATTGGCATTTTAATTCATTCTCTGCTCTGTGCTGTTGACTCTGCAGAGCTTCCCTCTTTTACCGTGTTCATTTTCTCCAAATGCCTTGCATGGAGCCACTGGCTCCCAATTCATGTAATGAAGCTTTAATGGCTGATCGCAACATCCAGTGTCATTAGCAGAAGTGTTAGTCTGATGCATAATCTGCCTTTTCTGATAACCAGAGGTGCAAACATTTGATATGTGATTAGCGCCTGCTGATTTAATTCACGTTCTCTCCTTTGGAGATTTTATGGCTTTTACCAAACGAACCTACGGATTTCATCTTTCATGTTTTGTTCTATATTTTTAAACAACGTATTCGGTTTGGCTGTCAGGAGCAGATGGCTACACTGCAAAAACACCAAGTCATTTTGGTTTAATTTTCTAGTGCAAATATCTTAGTACATTTGAAAAAAGAAAATTAACTGACAGGTAACTTTTCAGCAAGATATAGGAGCTTGTGTTAAGAAAATGATTCCTTAATATTGATGAACGTACCAGTTCTATTGGCAGATTATTTAATTTACAATAAGATATTTTTCCCATGTTTAAGTGAAATAAACTGGTATTTTTCGTCAATATTAAGGAGTAATTAACTCAGAAAGCTCCTATGTCTTGACGAAAAGTTACCTATAAGCTAGTTTTGTCTTATTTCTAAGATATTTGGACTTTCTGTTTTTGTAGTGTATCAAATAAATACTTGATTACATATTTCTCTACCGGCTCCTTGTTGTGTAGCAGGAGCTGGATTTTATTACACCATTTTTGTTTTATGCAACATTTAAAAGAAAAAAAAAACATTTAAAGAGAAACTGATTTAGAGCTCAGTTATTTTTTGCACAGAAAATAACCTTCTGCATCTCTGTCATCTTTCATGTCTTCTGCAACTTTTATTTATTTATTGCAACATTTTTGATCTGTTTGGCGCTCCCAGATGGTGTCATTCAGTGTCACCTCAAACACACAACACAGAATTAAACCAGAAGAACTGTTTTCTGCCTTGTTTCCTGTCGCAGCTGAGACTTGACGAAGATTTCTTCTGACAGGTGCAATAAAATGACAATATAAACGGGCCTTATTTAGCCGTTCACCACATTCGGTTCATGCATGAACATGGATGAGAGTCCGATGACGACATCAGAGAGGTACACTCACTCTTAACGAACCACACTGCGGAAAATAACACCACTCCAAATAATGTTTGCCTTTTCCATTACGCCCTCCTAACGCGTGCTGACAGATTCTTCTTATTTGCGTTGACATTTATGCATTTGCAAAGATTACCAGAGACTGATTGAAGAAGACACAAAGCATGATTGAGACAGAAATACACCATCAACCTAAACAAGTAAATTAGCTGGAGAGGAAAAAAATGTTAATAAAACCATTTTTTGTGTGTGTGCTGCAGTCCAGAATATTTACATAAATACAATCGGTGCATGTTCACAGTTTGCTTGAGTTTCCTTTCCATAAGCAGCTATGCATTTATTAACGGTATTGCAATCCTAGAAGTGCTTCCCTAACGAACTCCTCCTCCTCTCACAAGGATACGTCTGTTGTAATTAAAGAAAAACAAAACAAAACAAAAGTTTGTCAACATCTGAAGTTGGACTCGTGGCCCGGCAGACGGTGTGTCTTTCTCCCTTCGTGTTCGGTCATGTGATCACCCAGTGGGGAGGTAGGGGGTGTCGCTGTGGTAGTTGTAGTCCGGGCAGACCTTCTGCACCAGCTTGTAGTCGGTGCTGTAGAAGGTGATGAAGATGCAGATGACCTTGAAGGGTTTGGAGCACAGCCAGGACACGTGGCTCTGCGTCTGCTCCTGTGGGCAGCTCTGTGATGGGTCGTGGGCGCACAGCGAGTTCCTGGTGCCCTTCTCCACCTTCTCGTACTCCACCCTGCAGTTGAACAGCTTGGTGTCTTTGGTCTCCAGAGCCGTCTGCTGCTGCTGGTTGTGGTTATGTTGGTGGAAGTGCTGCTGCTGCTGCTGCGGATGGACCTGGAACTCCACCGCCTTCGTCGGGGGAACGAGCCCGACGGAAACGTTGCCCTGGCCGGTGGAGTTGTGCCGGAAGTAGACGCTGAATGTGCCGTTGCCGTGATCCACTATTTTCCCGGTGATGAGGAGGTTCAGCTTCACGGTTTTGATGTTTGAATGGAAGTCGCCCCAGCCGAACATCTTCTTGAACTTCCCGGTCTTGACGATGGGCCGTCTTTTTGTGCGAGGCCGCGGGTCGCGCGGAGTTGAAGCGTTGTAAAGCCAGTTCCACTGCTCCGGTTTGGAGTAGGCGTCCGCGTCGTCGTAATTCAGGTCCACCGAGGTAAAGTTCTCCTTCCCGTAGATGGTTTGAGACAGCAGGCGACTGATGGAGACCGCTTTGTTGCTTTCAGTCCAGTACGTCTTCACTTTGGATTTGGAGCTCTGTCTCAAGTCCGAACTTCCTGAGTGAGGTGAATCAGCACTGGTCACCTGGAAAAACAAACATGAAAAGTTAAATGCAGCATTCAGCTGGGGAGCACCATGGGAATCTGTCCAATAGGAGTTCAAAAGACGGATTATTGTTAAATACTTCACACAATTTTAAATTACCCAAGCCTGGTAATCGTCAGCATCTTTTTCATTGCCATTTTTAATTATAACTCTAATTAATGAATGTTGGAAGCAGAGAAGCGCCAATTAGACTTTCACTGACTGAATACTGAATACAAGTTTCCTATAATATCTGAACTAAAACTTTGGGTTAGACATGCAAATCAAGTTGTATTTATCAAACTACATAAACACTTTAATTGGTAGTTAACTGAGGTAGTAATTTGCTAATCAAACAGAAAACAATTATTTTGCATATCAAAGTGCATCATGTTTTGCATTTAAAAACCAAAAAAAGGTTCCACAACGAAAAGAAAATACAATTAGTCTAACCGATCAGAGCAGATCAAGGACATAATGTTTCACTTGATAGACCAATTTGAGCATCACCAGTTCAAAGTGTATTTGTTAAATATTTCAATATCTAGAATGTTTGGTTTTATACCAATGTCCTCAAAATCCTTGAACTTCTTTTGTCTTGAAACTATTTTTTTATTTCCAGCTACAAAATACTCAAATGTTTGGCACAATGATCAGCTCTGTGTCGGTATTCTTTCCACTCAGTCTAAAAGACACTTAATAGGTCAAATAGAAACTCTAAACTGCTACTGCTCTTCTCAGTCAGTCAAGACAATTACTGCAGAGCAGTTGGTGGTTTGTGTTACTGCCAAAGTCTCCAATAATAAGTTTTTAGTTACTTTTTAAAGTTGCTAGAAAAGTTGCTAAGTTGACAACAGTGCTTTCCCTCGTCTTGACCAAACAACTCTCAGGTCCCACACATAGTTATGCTTTAATAAGGAGTTTGTTACATTTTAAAGGTGACCTTTAAATGCTTCCTTGAACAGGTTAGGATAGGTCGAATGTTCACAAGAATGCTTTTGCACAAAATCATTCTTAGATGACGAGATTTTAGTTTGGTTCTGCTTATTTTGAACTCTTTCCAGAATGATCTGTTTTAGGGCCTCTTGTCACTTTAAATCCAAATAAACTGCTGCTGGCCACGCCCCCCGACTCAACATTTACACTAGCGCATGAAAATGGCTGCAAACGATGCGCGTTTACAAAGTAATTTTACTTATATAGCACATTTTCAGCAACATGGCAGTTCAAAGTGCTTTACATGAACTAGAAGGAAATGCAAACAAAACCAAAGGAAAGAACTAAAGAAAGATGTACGGTTTTATACACGTATTCATCTCTGAAAAACAGAAGTGGAGCCTCCTGCACAACCAACAAGAATGTAGCAAATGGATTCTGGATGGCAAGTCAACAACAAAACACTTGTCTTTTCCAGCAGCCATTGTACAGCGCATACAATGGTAAAACCAGCTGAACAAATGTGTTGGAGTGAAGCTCAGGTTGCTAGGTGACAAGAGGAGCTCCATTGGGGTTGCTAGGTAACGGCACAGTGCCCACTGAATGTGACTTATTGGGAGGTTTTTGAAACTCATGTTCCAGACACAAAAACGCATCAACTTACGTCCAAAAAACATCGGGGTTGTTTTTATATGCAGCTGAGGACCAAATGAAAGTATAAAAACAGGCGAAAACGTGAATTTTGCATAATATGTCCCCTTTAAGTGTGAATATGAGGTGGTTTGGGCTTGTGGGGTAAACGCTCTCATTTGTTAATCTGAATTACTCTAATCCTGGCCAGAAATAAGACGTTACAGAAAACGAATAGAACATATCCTTCATTTATTCAAGGCTAATTTTATATTAAATATAAACATTTTTAACAATAAATGAGAAAATGATTAAAACTTCTTTTGAGGAGCTCACTAGCTGAAATCTGTTTTGTTGACGGTGATAAAATTTTAATACATGCAAATCAAGTGTGTGTGTGTGTGTGTGTGTGTACCTAATGTTACACAAGAACTAACAGATTTTCCATTGTTTGTTTGTTTTATGCTTCTTATTTGATGAAAAACAGAAGAGCTATGATAAGCTGTGGTTTTTCATTAACAGTGTTGGCAGAACTGCAGATAAAATATCTCAGAATGAAAATATTCTACAGCCAGGCTTGAAGTTCACTGTTTAATAAACTCAAAGCAAAATGAAAATAGTTCATATTGTTAAAACGGTGACTGACGCAAAAGTCATTTTTTAGTTTTGTTGTCATCATGGAATGATTCATAGATGCATACAGCCCAGTTTTTCATTACAGAAATGACTAATTTAAAGCACCATACTGTAGGTTTGATTAAATTAATTTTATTCTAAACAAAAAAGCTCTGAAACTAAATGTTTTCTTTCTCGTTACAGTAGAGTTCCTAATGTGTTAAACTATGTTCCGAAAAATATATATTTGTGTTTTAATATGGGAGGAATTTAAAAAGGGACACAGAATATGAGAGCATTTAATAATAAGTTTATCTTTGTAAATAAAACCAAAGCTAAGTATCACTCCTTGTTTAGCCTAAAACAAAGAAATGTTTGTCCGGATATCCTTTACTTTTCTACTGAGGTCAACAATAAGTCCAGAACATTAAGTTAAAGGTTGTAAAAGTTTTTTTTGTAGATTTATAAAGTTTGAGTTTTGGAAAAACTTAAAGCAGCAGGATTATAAATAATTAAAATAGCCATGTTTAGGTTTGACCAAAAATTAATTAAAGGAATTTCAACTGGTTATAGTAGACATTTACATGTTGTCCTTTAATATTTAATATAAAAATAGTATAATTTTATTTATAATAATTTTCTAAAAACAAAACCAAGAAAACACCAACAGTTGTGCCTCGTCCCACCTGTCAGCACCTGTGACATATCAGTTAAAGCTGTAACTACATCTCACAGTGTGTGAAAACGTCCTAATCAAGATTAAAGGGGTATTTCTGCCGTATGCTGAGATGAATGACGCGCGTCTCTGCTGCAGACGTGATCCAACAGCGGACTATTACCTGCCGAATGTGCCCTGAATGGATGATTGATGGCTCATTCTGCCTCTCCTCTAACAATCGCACAGATGAGAGCGCGAAGATTTCCCTCGCACCCCGCAGAGACGCGTGACAGTGATGTCCGCGCGGCAGCCGCACGGCGTGACAGTAGATCCATCTGGTCGGAGCGTTTACGTTTTGTACTTTTCACGCAGCGATCGATGCGCCGAGAATAAGGTCTTCTCTCTTTCCGAAAGTTCACTGAATGACATTGTAGCAGTGAAGGTCAGACTGCGTGCAGTAAACTGTTTGCAGGAGCTGCGTTCATTTCATGCACTTGGCTTCAGAGTGCAGCGGTTTGAAAAGATGGCCTCCAGTTGTTTTGAAGAGGAGGCCTCGATGACGAATGTCCCGATGGGAGCGAACCGTGATCTCTGCCACTGCGATCTTTCAACCTGAACGTTTCTTTAGTGCAGCCTCACAAGTGGAGTTAAATCTAAACGTTTTCGCCTCTAGAAGCACAAAACATCTACAGCTGGATTCTTTTATTAAATGGGATCTGTTATGCCAAGCTCACATTTTGGACGTTTTTCTGTTTCCATTTGGGTCGTTGAGTCACCACATGTTTTCATACTTCCCTTTAAGTCTTTACTGTTTCTAAAATCAGCCCAAGCACTTAAAAAAACACAAAATATTTTTTGGCATCAAGTTAATGTTTTCTGGTGTCTGGAAAGAGTGCCGCTTCAAAAATTTTCCAAATGCTGAGTCACAAATCAATGCTGCCTGTTCACCTAAGTAACCCCAGCAAAGCCCAGCCCGTTACCTAGCAACCCCAGTAGCAGAGTTCCACCTGTCACCTAGCAACCCCAGTAGCAGAGCTCCACCTGTTACCTAGCAACCCCAGTAGCAAAGTTCCACCCGTTACCTAGCAACCCCAGCAGCGTTCCAGCACTTTCGGCCAGATGGTTTTACCATTTCTGTTTTTCAAAAATGTATGGTTGAATTGAGCATCTGTTTGCAGTTATTTTTACAAATGGGTGTAAACGTAGAGTTGGACACGTGACCAGCAGCAGCTTGTTGGATTTAAAGTGACAAGACGCCCTAAAACAGCTCGTTCTGAAAGGAGCTCTGAATCCGCAGAACTGATCAAACTAAAATCTCATTATCTAAAGAATGATTGTATGCAAAAACTGTAATGAATGTGTTTTGTATAGCGGGTAGACTTTCCTAACCTGTTCACAGAAGCATTAAAGGAAAACTGTAGGGCGCTCAGACAAAGATTTTTGTCTGTTAATGAAACGATAGCGTCTCATCTTGCCACAATGTAGATGTTTTAAAGTGAATTTGATAAGGCAAGAGAAATGTTTAGGAATATTTGTATTTGTTCAGACTTCAATCTATTTTATAACAAACATAATTGAAACAACTGGAGATTTTAAAGGAAATCACAGCAGAAAACTTGACACAATGTGTTTGTGATCTGGCAGGAACGACCAAGGTCAAACGACACCAAACGTGCTCCCACGCCTGTTTAATTTATTTTCAGTAATCGTAAAAGAATAAACTGTCTCCTAATGGACCTTTGTCTTGCCATCCAGGCTGTAAAGCTCATTTATTTCTCATGACTGTATCTATTCTGAGTTGTTGAAAGACTGTAGTCTCTAATCACCAAATGAAATATCGTTTTGGTAGCTCAGTAATTACTGATGCGTCTCTGTAACTGGGTTTCTGTTCTCAGCGGAGTCCTGAAACCAGATCCTGGGATATTGGGGAGCAGCTTAGAGCTGGTTTCAATGCCTGTCATACTAATCACTGAAAGTGGGACTCGTGTTTGTGTGGATGCAGCATTTTTAACGCCTACATGCGAGGAATATTTTCTGAACTACACAAATCCTGGAAGGAACTTCACTTGCCTTTCTTTCGAAACACAGACCCAAAATATTCAGTTTCTGAGTTACTTGTTGATGTTTGTTGCGACTGAAATTCTTGGGGAGGATTTAGTCT